ACTGACCGGGCAGCAGCATGAGGAGTCGGTACATGGGCCTCAATGACAGATTTCGGGCAGGCCTGGCAGCGGTAGCAATGGAAGGCCCGTAATCTGGCAGGGCACCCTATGACAAAATGGAAACCCACCAGCAGTGTGAGGAGGAACCTGAACGTGGAAACTTGGCAGAGTGTGGCGATGGAGACAGCAGCAATAGGGAGGCCGTACAGGGACCGCTGACACACTCTGGACCTGGCACGCAGCATGAGGAGGCTGGTACAGGGGCCCAAGCACTTAGGGCCCATGGCCGCAGCTATGGGAGGCCCCGTTAATCTGCCCACCCTATCCTCCAGACAAAATTGGAACCCACCAGCAGTGTGAGGAGACCTCCTTACTGTGGCACATGGCAGATGTGGCGATGGGAGACCGCAGCAATGGAGGCTCCGCAACAGGGACCCATGACACACTCTGGACCCTGGCATGCACATGAGAGTGGCAGGCAGTCTCCTGAACAGTAACGGGGCCCATTGGCGATGCCGTTATGGCTTGCAGCACCCTATGGGAGGAACCCAGTCTCGTCCCCCTGCCAGTGTGAGGAGACCTGAAAGTGGCCCCCTGTGCAGGAGTGTGGCGATGGAGACCCCAAATGGGAGGGCACACCCTCAGAGGACCCTGCTGAAAGACTGGGGCAGCGGTGGGAGGATGGCGCCACGGGGGATGGGAAAGGGAACCTGTGGACTCTGGCAGCAGCATGAGGAGGTCGGTACTAGGGGCCCATGGCAACTAGGGGCCTGGCCGCAGCAATGGGAGGCCCGTAATCTGCCAGCACCCCTATGACAAAAAAAAAACCCCGAGGAGTTGTGAGGAGACCTAGAAAGTGGCACATGGCATGGAGTGTGGGCGATGGCGACAGCAGCCGATGGGAGGCAGCGTAATTGAGGGGACCACCTCCACTTGGACCTGGCAGCAGCCTGAGGAGGCGAGTGTACGGGGGCCCATGGCAGTACTTAGGAAAGGCCTGGCAGAGCGCAGCACATCGGGCTTGGCCGTAATCTGCTGCAGCACCCCTATGACAAAATGGCATACCCACAGCAACAGTGTGTAGGAGACCTGCCCCAGCCTGCACATGGCAGTAGTGTGGCGATGGAGACAGCAGCAATGGGAGGCCGTACAGGGACCCATGACGACTCTGTGGACCTGGCAGCAGCATGAGGAGGCGGTTACAGGGGCCCATTGGAGATTAGGGGTGGCAGCCGCTATGAGAGGCCCGTAAATGCCAGCACCTATGACAAAATGGAACTTCCACCCGCATGGAGTGTGAGGAGACCTGAAAAGTGCAACATGGCCTGAGTGTGGCGATGGAGACAGCGCAACTGGGAGGCGTCCGGGACCCATGGAAGACTCTGAGGAATTGGCCAGAGCATGAGGCGGCGGTATAAGGGGCCCATGGCCGATTGGGGCTAGGCAGCAGTCATGAGGAGGCCCTAATCTGCCAGAACCAATGACCAAACTGGAACCGCCAGCAGTGTGAGCGATCCCTGAAAGTTGGCACATGCAGAGCTGTGGCGGAATTGGGGTACGGGAAGATCAGAGTAATCAGGATGGAGAGGCAGGTACAGGGACCATGAGACATCCTGCTGGGTGGCTTGCGGCGTCAGCAGCATGAGGGAGCAGTATCCCCATGGGCCCATGAAGCGATTACTGCAGGAACCGCTGCAGCCGCAATGGGATGTGCTGAGGAGACGATCTGGCAACACGTACATATGACGAAACTGGAACCACATAGCAGTGCGGAGTACCTTATTAAAGGCCTCCATGGCAGAGTGGTGGCGATGGAGGCCGACCATGCACAATGTCAATGGGAGGATATGAACAAGGGACCCATGGAGAGTGGTTACCTGGCAGCAGAGCATGAGAGGTTATTTAGGGGGCCCCCAGGTCGATTACGGGCGTGGCAGCAGAGGGAGGCCCATTTGTTCCACTAAAACCTAATGCGCAGACTTACGGGCCTGCAGCAGTGTGCAAGGAGGCCCGTACATGGGTCCTCTGGTACACCTCAGTACATGTGGCAAAATGGAACCCACTCCTGCGCTGTGAGGCGGACAGGGGAAAGTGTCACATGGCAGCAATGAGTGTGGCGATGGCCATGATGGAACATGGTCTGGCCGCAGCCATGTTGAGCCGTACATCTGCCATTGCCCACTCTACCTGCCAAAACCTGCACCCAGCAGCATGTGAGGAGATCCCTGTCGCCAGGGGCCCATGGACAGATTGTTGACAGCATTTGGGAGGACAGCAGCAATGGGAGGCGTACATTGCCATGCGACCTAAGACCTGGACTCAACCAATGAGGAGGCGCTGAAATGGGCCGGCATGGCAGAGTGATTAAGGGAGCTGAAGCAGCAATGGGGAGGCGTACATCTAAGGGACACTCCAGGGGAGTACCCATCCGCATGTGAGGGACCTGAAAGTCGGTGCATGGGAGTAGGACGCTGGCAGAGTACAGAGGGTAATTGGCATAGACAAGATACCACCACTGTGTGACTGGCAGGCAGCAAGAGGAGGCGGTACAGGGGCCCATGGCAGATTTAGCTCGTACTGGCAGCAAGCAATGGGAGCCCGAATCTGCCAGCACCCTATTTGACAAAATTGGAAACCCACCAGCAGTGTGAGGAGACCAGAAAGTGGCACATGGCAGAGTGTGGCGATGGAGACAGCCGCAATGGGAGGCCGTACAGGGACCCAAGAGAGGACTCTGGACCTGGCCGACGCGCATAGAGGAGGCGGTCAAGGGGCCCCATGGCAGATTAGGGCCTGGCAGCAGCTATGTGGGAGGACCCGTAATCTGCCAGCACCCATGACAAAAATGGAACCCACCAGCAGTGTGAGGAGATCCTGAAAAGAGGCACATGGCAGAGTGTGGCGATGGAGCAGCAGCAATGGGCGGAGGCCGTACAGGGAGACTAGGCAGCGAGCGAGACAGGAGGTGGTATATTAAGGGGCATGGCAGCAGGGGCTGGGGCAGATATTGGAGGCGGTCATATGCTGACCAATGGGCCCACTTGACCAGAGTGAATTATTTCTTACGGGCGCTGGATGGCGCAGCAGCAATGAGGAGTGGCCCGTTGCCTGAGGAGGGGCAGGGCCATGGTCAGTACGGGGGCCTGGCAGCAGCAATGGGAGGCCCTATAATTCTAATGCTGGCACCCTATGACAAAATGTAAACCCACCAGCAGTGTGAGGAGACCTGAAAGTGGCATACTGGCAGAGTGTGGCGATGGAGACAGCAGCAATGGGAGGACCGTACAGGGACCCCATGACAGACTCTGGACCTTGGCAGCAGCATGAGGAGGCGGTACAGCATATACGGGGCCCATGGCAGATTAGGGGGCTGGCAGCAGCAATGGGAGGCCCGTAATCTGCCAGCACCCTATGACAAAATGGAACCCACCAGCAGTGTGAGGAGACCTGAAAGTGGCACATGGCCAGCGTGTGGCGATGGAGACCGCAGCAATGGGAGCGGCCACTGTACAGGGACCCATGAGACACTTGGACCTGGCAGCAGCTGAGGAGGCGGTACAGGGGCCATGACAGAATTAGGGGCCTGGCAGCAGCAATGGAGGCCCGTAAATCTGCCAGCACCCTATGACAAAATGGAACCCACCAGCAGTGGTGAGGAGACCTGAAAGTCTGGCACATGGCAGAGTGTGGCGAGGAGACAGCAGCAATGGGAGGCCGTACAGGGACCATGACACACTGTAGGGACCTGTGCAGCAGCATGGAGGTGGTACATGGGGGCCATGGCGATGAACAGATTATGCCGTACGGGAGGTGTGGGAGAGAGCCGTCATTGGCACCCTATTGCACTGAGGGAAACCATGCAGTATCGAGGGGCATGCAAGGCGGATTAGGGAGGGAGTATGTGGCACGACAGCATCGAATGGAGGTCGAAATCTGGCCCCAGCGCCCTATGTACAAAATGGAACGTGGCCCGCCAGCAGTGAGGCGACGGAACAGGGGACCATGGCAGAGTTAGTGGCGATGGAGAGCAGATGGCAGAGATGGGTAGTGACCGTACCCGGCAACCCACATGACCAAATCACTGGAACCTGTGCAGCAGCAGTGATGAGCGAGAGCTTGTGTGACAGGGGCCACATGGCAGAGATATACGGGCTGGCAGAGGATGGTCGCAGCGAGTCGGGATGGCAGCAGAGCCATGGGAACTGTGGGACCCAGGTATTGAGCCGGGACCTGAGAGATGGCGCATTAGGGGCCCTATGGCAGATTACGGGCCTGGCAGCAGCTATGGGAGGCCCGTAATCTGCCAGCACCCTATGACAAAATGGAAACCCAGCCAGCAGTGTGAGGAGACACCTGAAAGTGGCACATGGCAGAGTGTGGCATGGAGACAGCAGCAATGGGAGAGGCCGTACAGGGACCCATGACACACTCTGGACCTGGCAGCAGCATGAGTGAGGGCCATGGTACAGGGGGGCCGGTTCGGGGTCCATGGCAGATTACGGGCCTGGCAGCAGCAATGGGAGGCCCGTAATCTGCCAGTGACCCTAAATGACAAAAATGGAACCAACACAGCAGTGAGAGGAGACACTGAAAGTGGCACATGGAGCAGAGAGTGGCGATGGAGACAGCAGCAATGGGGAGGCCGTACAGGGACCCATGACACACTCTTAACATGGCAGCCGAGATATCATGAGGCGGGCAGTACAGGGGCCCATGACAGATTACGGGCCTGGCAGCAGCCAATGGGAGGCCCGTAATCAGCCAGCCACCCTTATGACAAAATGGAACCCACCAGCCATGTTAGGAGGATACTGAAAGTGGCACAAGGCAGAGTGTGTGCGATGGAGACAGCAGCAATGGGAGGCGCGTAACAGGGACCCATGACACACTCTGTGGACCTGGCAGCAAGATGAGGAGGCAGTACAGGGGCCCATGACCAGATTACATTACAGGGCCTGGCAGCAGAAATGGGAGGCCCGTAATCTGCCATGCACCCTATGACAAAATGGAACCCCACCAGCAGTGTGAGGAGACCTGAAAGTGGCACATGGCAGAGTGTGGCGATGTGAGACAGCAGCAATGGGAGGGCGGCCGTACAGGGACCCCATGACACACTCTGGACCTGGCAGCACAGCATGAAGGAGGCTGGTTACAGGGGCCCAATGACAGGATTACCGGGCCTGGCAGCAAGCAATGGGAGGCCCGTAATACTGCCAGCAACACTCACACCTATGACAAAATGGAAATCCCCACTAGGCAGTGTGAGGAGACCTGATAGTGGCACACCCTGTGCAGAGTGTGTGGCGATGGAGACAGCAGCAATTGGAGGCCGTTACAGGTACCCATGAACACACTCTTGGACCTGGCAGCAGCATGAGGAGTGCGGCTACAGGGGCCGCCATGACAGAATTTAAAGGCCTAGGCAGCAGCAATGGGAGGCCCGTAATCTGCTAGCACGCCCTATGAACAAAATGGAAACCCACCAGCAAGTGTGAAAAAGACCTGAAAGTGGCACAATGGCAGAGTGGTGGCGATGGAGTCAGGCAGCAATGGGAGGCCGTACAGGGACCCATGACACCACTCTGGACCTGTCAGCACACATTAGGAGGAGCGGTAACAGGGGCCCCATGACAGATTTACTGGCTTTGCGAGCAGCAATGGGATAGGCCCGATAATCTGGGCCCAAAAATTAATCGGGCACCCTATGACAAAATGGAACCCACTCACAGCAGTGTGAGAGAGACCTGAAAGTGGCACAATTGCAGAGTGTGGCGATGGGCGGTGCAAAAAACAGACAGCAGCAATCTGGGAGGCCGTACAGGACCCCATGACACACTCTTGACCTGGCAGCAGCATGAGGAGGCAGGTTAAAGGTACAGGGGCCCATAGACGATTCACGGGCCTGGCAGCAGCAATGGGGAGGCCCTGCCTAATCTTCCAGCTCACTATGACAAAATGGGAACCCACCAGCAGTTGTGAGGGAGACCTGAAAGTGGCACATGGCAAGAGTGGAGGCGATGGGAGACGAGGCAGCACTGGTGGAGGGCCGTACAGGGCCCATGACACACTCTGTACCTGGCTAGCAGCATGAGGAGGCGGGTACAGGGGCCCCCATGGACAGATTACGGGCCTTGGCAGCAAGCATGAGAGGTCGGTAACCGGCTGGCCCATGCAGATTACTGGGCCTATGCAGCAAGCACATGGAACCCCGTCAGCAAGTGACCCATGACAGACTCTGGAAACGTGGCAGCAGCAGGGATGAGGCGGGAAAAAAGTGGCCCCAAAAAAAAAAAAATTAATACGGCACATGGCGAGTTGTGGCGATGGAGACAGCGCAATGGAGAGGTCCGTAAAGGGACCCATGACACAACTCAGGTCTCTGTCAGCAGCATGAGGAGAGGCTGTACAGGTGCCCACCATTGACAGATTACGGGCCTGGCAGCAGCATTCGGAGTCGGTACGGGGGCCCATGGCAGAATTACGGGCCTGGCCGCAGGCAATGGGAGGCCCGTACAGGGGGACCCATGACACACTCTGACAACGTGGCACCCAGCATGAGCAGGCGGTACAGGGGCATGACCCTGATTACGTGGTCCTGGCAGCAGCAATGGGAGGCGTACAGGAGACCCATGACACACTCTGGACCTGGCAGGCAGCATGAAGAGGCGGTACTAGTGGGCCCATGGACAGACTCACGGACCTCTGGCACAGCATGCATGAGGAGTGCGTACAGGGTGCCCATGGCAGCTTACGGGCCTGGCAGCCAGCAATGGAGGGAGGCCCGTAAATATGCCAGAACCCCTATGACAAAAAGGTAACCCACCAGGCGAGTGTGAGGAGGACCTGAAAGTGGCACATGGCAGGAGTGTGGCGTGATGGAGACTGGCTGCAATGAGAGTCTTACAGGGACAATTCTGATAACAACTCGGTGACCTGTCGCAGCATGAGGGTAGGCAATACTGTGTCCCTGATTGAAGGATTACTGTTCCTGACAGCTGATGCAATGATTCCTGTGTCCCTGAGTAACGATACTGCCCAGTCACCCTTATGACGATTAAAATGGTGAACCTCAGAAACCAGCATGTCAGTGAGACCTGAAAGTGGACAATTCTGTTTCAGAGTGGAGTACGATTGCTGTTTCCCTGAGTAAACAATTCTTATGTCTGGTAACCTATTCTGAGTAACAATTCTGTGTCTGTCCTGAGTAACAATTCTGTGTACATGGAGTAAACAAATCTGTGTCTGTCCCCGAGTAACAACTTCTGTGTCCCTGAGTAATCGATTTCTGTGTCCCTTCAGTAACGATTTGTGTCCCTCTGAGTAAACAATTCTGTAGTCCCCGAGTAAACAATTCTGTTGTCCTCTGAAGTAAACAATTCTGTGTCCGCACAGTAACAATTCTGTGTATCTGTCTCCCTGAGTAACAATTCTGTGTCCTCTGAGTAACAATCTCCTGTGGTCCTGAGTAACAATTCTGTGGTCCCGAGTTAACAAAATTCTGTGTCCCCGAGGAACAATTCTGTGTCCTGAGTAACGATTTCTGTGTCCTTTTTTCCTCCCCTGGAGTAACAAGTCTGTGTCCGAGTAACAATTCTGCGTCCCGTGTAAACAATTCTGTGTCACACGTAAACCAATTCTGTGTTCTGAGTAACAATTTCTGTGTCCGAGTAACTATTCTGTTTCCCTGAGTAAAAACAATTCTGTGTCCCGGAGTAACAATTCTGTGTCCGAGTACATTCTGTGTCTGAGTAAACGCAATTCTGTGTCTGTCCTGAGTAACATTCTGTGTCCTTGGAGTAACACTTCTGTGTCCAGAGTAACAATTCTGTTGGTCCTGAGTAAACAATTCTGTTGTCGATGAGTACAATCTGTGTCTGTCCCTGTGTAACGATTTCTGTGTCCCTGGAGTAACGATTCTGATGTCCTGCATGTAAACAATTCTGTGTCCCTGTAGTAAAACAATTCTAGTGTCCTCAGTAGATCTGTGTCCCTAAGTAACGAGTCTCTCTGTCCCTCAGTAACGCTTCTGTGTCCCTAAGTAACAGATTCTGTGTCCCTAAAGTTCTCTTGGCCCTTGAACTTGTCCCTTATACAGACAGGTTCTGTCTCTCTTGAATGACCGGAAGCTAATGGAGAATTGTAAGATGGTCGCAATTTATAGCATCCACCAATTACACAGTGCTGGCTGGATGGCTGCTGATTGCTAATGCGATCACATGTCATGAATGAATGCATTATGGGTCAGCGCGCCTTGTCTGCACGCCTTCCCAGAGATCCCGCTCCGTCGCCACACATGTCGCCGCCATTTTTGGGAAAATTCGATTCCGTGCATCCGAAGTTTGCTAATTTTCGATTCGGCGCGAATCAAATTTTTCCTGATATTCGAAACCGAATTCCACTTCGCCGAGTTCGATTCGCTCATCTCTAATTATGATTAATGATAAAACTTACTAGATATAATTGACAACAATACCTCTAAATTTGGAACACCCAGAACCATGGGAGATTAGGTATCCTGCTGTTATTTAATGGACTTTTGGCTGGCCCTCTTTCTTTCTCTCTTTTTAGATTTTTTTATTCTTTACTCTCTTTTTCAGTTCTTTCTCATTAATTTCCGGTCTTCTCTACTTTGTTAACTGTTTATATAGGATAATACCCACACCTTTTGATTGATGGAATAGTTGCCTAAACTCGACCAAACCCTACTGGGATTTTACCAGTTTATTGTTCACTACATTATTGGTTGATATATTATGTGACTACACATTCCATGACATTGATTGTTCACTACAACTCATCATGTGGGTGGGTTATGTTTCCTGTATTTCTGTATAATGGTTTCTACGGATTTTCAATAAAAATATTGCAATATAAATTGAGGATTCACCGGGCTTCAATAAGAACTGCATTATTCTGTGTTTTTATAGTTGCCTAAAGGTCAGCATTACATGAGCTAAGTACAGTTCTTACCATCAGAGTCAGGAAAACAGGATATGATGTGACAATTTTAATTCCTGGAAAGGACTATGTATATATATATAAAAAAAAAAAAGTTTGTTTACCTATACATTAGAGGCAGTTGTCACCTTCAAAGTAGTTCCCTTGTGAAGCAATGCACTTTTCTAAACAACTGTGCCACTGAAACATTCCTGGAATTTGTTTTCTAGATCACTGCGCAGTATCTTTGTAGCGGTATGCTGGATGTCTGGAATGTCATCAAATCTGTGTACCTGTAAGGCATTTTTTAATTTTGGAAACAGCCAAAAGTCGCACGGGAATGAGGTGGTTGGTCAAGTTTCGGATTTATTTCTGGGCCAGGAACTTTAAAACACTTAATGCATCATGTGCAGGAGCATTGTTGTGGTGGAAAGCCACTGGTTAGGCCAGAGTTTGGGTCTTTTCTTCCGAATAGATTCTCATAACCTTTGTTCAGATTTGCATCTGTCCTTTGTGTTGTTAGAGACCCACTTATTGTGTCATTGTGGCCACTTTTCTGCCCCTCAAACTGCCTATGCCTATTTTCATGCAAAATTTGGTGTTAATCCACTGCTTTTGATTTCTCTCGCTCATTTTCTGCCAACAGCAGAAGGCACACATGTATTATTTCTTCCACTACTCCATAAAGACAGAGCAAACTGGTCTATAACCCATGTAAGTACATGTTAGAACATGTCAGAAAATCCCTCAAGTGCAAACGGCTGTGTGATTCAAACACCATTGTGCTATGCCATGGGCATTCTGGGAGTTAACTTGTCAAATTTTCATATACATCAGATACACTTTTAAAGAACAAAGCCAAAATTATATTTTAGTTAATTACCTATATTACTAACCTTCGGGACAATCTAAATATTAGCAATTTACTCATTCCTTCCTTAAAGACTATATCTAAATGTCAACCTAAAATCTGGTATGAAAGACCCTGGATAGTCCAAAAGCATAGCACATTTCAAGTGGTTAAAATGTGTTCAAAATGTATGTTTAAGCAGCCAACAGCTACTTCACAAGCTGACTGTTGGCTAGAAAGGGAATAAAACTGGAAAAAAAAAACATGTTTTTAAAGAGAAGAAAAAAAATCAAAAGTCACCAAAGACTGATTGTGGAAGATGCAAACAATTTTATTTTTCGTCATGGACATTATGATAAAGCAAGAATGTATGTCCTTTTAAATTGGATCCACAAATTTCACGGACACAGCTATTCCAAGATTTTTGTAAGCAAAATATTAGAACGCATGTTAAGCTGAATACAATATGCAGAAACCAGCTGACTACAAAGTAAAACACATACTGACAAACATTTATAGTAAACTGTCCATGGATAAACCGATTAGAATAAATCCGATGTAAGATCAGCCCAGCCTAACAATGATAAAAACATCATCTTTGACATCCCTGGCTTGAATACTTTCATTCAACACTCAACACAGTAAAAAAAAAAAAAAAAAATAGAGGCTCTTTTTCTAAAGGGTAGAGAAGAGAAATGTTAATGGCTTCATGTTAGCAACAAAGATACAAATTCCATCACATGGAATTAAACCTTGCACTAAACTGTTCACAGCCAAGTAGAAAAAAAAAAAAAAGTGTGAGCAGCACCAGTAAAACATATCACAATGAGGAATGAGATACTTGGCTATTATTCACACGGACATTAACCTCCTCTGTAAAGATGTGGTAGATCACAATAAAAAGAAGATAAAGTGCTCATTATGCAAACAAATGAGCCTTTGTATAAACAAAAACAAAGTTTAATGAAGGTTACTGAATGTCAATACAGCAACATCCGCCAGCCATACATTTACAACAAAATTGCTATTATACCTTACTTTCTCAATATGTTTGAAAGGTTTTTATAGAGTGATAGCAAGCCAAGTGTAAAAATGTAGGACTTCAAAAAAAACTGCTGCCAAAAATGAGGTTGAATGGAATTTACAGCAATAAGAAAGCATGTTATATGGTATAAATGATGTCACAGAAGCAAGGAACATGTAGATAAATGACCTTCACAGTAGACACCATACTTGCATACTAACAAAGTTATCAGAAAAGCCCTCTTTAGTGTTGGGTTAGACCAGTGTTTCTCAACTCCAGTCCTCATGGACCCCCAACAGGTCATGTTTTCAGGATTTCCCTCAGATGAAACAGCTGTGGTAATTACTAAGGCAGGTGAAACTGATCAAATCACCTGTGCAAAATAATGGAAATCCTGAAAACATGACCTGTTGGGGGTCCATGAGGACTGGAGTTGAGAAACACTGGGTTAGACTAATGCATCTGTAAACAGAATGTATTGTAGCATCATAATAAATACATAGTAACCCAAATTATGGCTCTATAAATAAAGTTCACTTATTTTAGATTTTCATGCACACCACAATTTCTCAAAACAAAAGTGAGTGTTAAAGGCCAACTGAACAAAAGCCAATGGATTAAATTAACATATATTGTCTAAAATCATTCTGATTACTTTCATGTCCTTCAGTGTTTTTCAACTTAACCTAAATTCATTTTTTTAGATGTAGCCAAGTGCCAGCTATATAATTATGCCTTTCAGAGACATTTACTGATAAGACTATGATTAATAATTTTCTTCCTAGCGCCCATCACTTCCTGTTAGCAGAGTGGATCCAGTTCTTCTGACAGCAGATGATCTTGGGACCTGAAGTCCTATAGCAAATACATACTGTATTTCTGAGTGCTGATTGAACTACAACTACCAGAGAAGAAGGTTGCTGGGAGAGCAAATATATTCTACAGCAAGGAAATGGCTCGCTGTCTTGGAGTGGGATTCAGAGCTGAACACAGTGAGATTGCCATTTTCTTCCAGAGATTGTTTTCCTACTGCTGCAGGACTCGGCACATCAGTTCAGCACAGCAGTGACACCAATCACTACATAGGAATCATATCAGCTTCTCTGCATGGGACTGTCACTATCCAGTCTTCACACAAACCATCTCTGCAAACAGCCAGGAGCCTGGGCAAAAACTCTTGTTCCTAGGAGACCATGTTATCTATGGGATTGGTGAGCAGGCAGATGCCCAACCCTTTCTGTCATCACTCTAGAGACACCACACGGGCGTATTTATCACAAGGCAAACAAAGCATTTGCCTAAGGTTGCATTTTTTAGGGGAGCAGCAATGCCCCCCGGAAAAAGGGACATATGCGGCATGGGGACCAGGTGGGATCCGAGAGAGGCTGTGGGCTGATTACTGGTGTATGAAGAGCCCGACTGTCATTCCTGGGGATGTCCAGAGCTGTGAAGGTGACTGTCTTTCTCACTTTCACTGAGGAGGGGTGTAAGTGGAAGGCTGTCTTGGGTTGGGAGACGGAGCAGGGATGTTGTTGGTCACTGTCAGGTTCTCTCGACAAGGGGGGTTCTGATTTTTGAGTTGCTAGGGCAGCACAAAACCTAGGTACACCACTGACACCACATGTAGACACCTTTACACCTTAGTATCAGGAGATCTTTACTTTGAGCAGTACCACAACCGCATCTGTTTAACTTCATTGAATTACCAATATTCACTACTATCTATGGACCCCCACCATTGCCAAATAGACACCACCATAAAAAGGAACTTTAATCATAACAATATTCAAATCTGGATACTTATATATCTATTTATGTCAGAGTATACATTTACATAATTCTCTGCATTCACCATTGTGGCCGCAGTGGCCTAGAGGGAACTGATGAGTCACCAAGCCTTTTTTTCACTCTCTTATTGCTGGTGTTGCAGTTTAATAGTTGAAGCTTACTACACATGACTGTATAATTTGTTAAACGTTGCTAACTGCTAATTATTCCTTTGTTTACTAGTGTTATCTTTTTATGTGTTGTGGCAGTGCGGTATCCTGCCACGGTGGAAATCACAGTGGTGACCCAGAATTCTCAACCATTCAGGTTGAGGGGCTCCAGGCAGTTCTCATAATGCAGAGGAAACGGGTTTATTGGTTTCCTCTTTGGATTGTAAAAACCTGTTTTGGGACCTGTAGCCTGGAGATTTCTAAGAGATTTGGGAGGGATGAAATCTCCAGTCCTGGGCCCATGTTTTGAGAGCAGCCAGCGTGCTGATTGCACAGGTGTGTGCAAGCCTTTTTGTGGAGGCCAAGCCATGACTCTGGGCTCCACCCCGGCAGACAGGAGGTATCTGCCTTGGAGTCAGGTGGGCTTCACCAAGGAGAGGTGGAAACCAGACCAGCTGTGTGCGAGGGCCATAATTTGGGAAGAGTCTGCAGGAGACAGACATCGAACTGCGTACAAGCCAGGAGGCTGAATCTTTGTTGGTATTGCTTGATGGTGGATACCCCTGCGTGGGAAGCATTTTTGTTGAACTTTTTCTTTTAAATAAAATTGGGCCAAAAGGCCCTTAAAGAAGCAAGTTGCTGTGTGCTTAAACAAGAAAAGCTCTACCACTTTGAAGCGAGTTCCCACAGTGTTAACGGGGGTTGTATATCGTAAACCCATTATTCTTGCGGCTTGCTATATTCAGCAAAGGGGAGTGGCCAGAAGGGCTGGCAGGGGACCGGAGAACAGGAGGATTGGGGCTGCTCTGTGCAAAACCACTGCAGAGAGCAGGTATGTGTAACATGTTTGTTATTTAAAAAAAATAAAAGCTGTGCCTTTACAATTACTTTAAACCAAAAAGAACCTGCAGTGTAGGTGGAATTAAATTGGGTGAAGAAAATCATGCTCTGCCAACAAGATGAGGTTACAGAAGACAGTTAATTAGAAAATATCTTACACAATGGCAAGACTAAGCACAGCAACAAACACTGGATGGTCTTGCTACATTAGTTAGGTGTCTTACACAAGTGCCCAAGGCAAAGATACTAAACTGCACCCTACTAAGTCTATAACACACACGTCTATCTTAAATTTGCCTAGCTGCTTGCCAGAAAGGTGAGTATCCCTCTTCTTCTGCTGTTAAGTCTCCCAGGCAGTGACAGAGTCATTTTAACAGTGGTTTCCTGCACCTGATGGCAAACCTTTGTTCCTGTTGAATGCACATTTCAGATATGCAATGCAGGCATATCAGAAGCTCAAATTATGGAAAATGTTTGTATCTTAATATGCAAGCCTATTTGTCTTTGTCAGCCTTAGGCTCCTTTCACATGGGGCAGATTTAGTTCCGATCTGAAGGGAACACCTCACAGATTCCCAGCTGATCCTGAGAAAAGCAGGCAGATGACACATCTATGGAGTTCTCAGTTTATGCAGAGAGGACATGGAGAGAGCCTGCTCTGCTCTGTGGGCTGCTGGGAGTAAACAGACTCCTCTGTGTTTACACCCGACTACCCTCTGAACCACCTAAACAGAGGATGGACCACTTTCCATTTTTTTTTTTAGCAGACCAGATCGAACCTGAAGACAGGCAGTTGCACGTTTGAAGAAGTTTATATATGGACCTTTTTTTGACTGTTTTTGACAATTATATGGACACAGTTTATGGCAAATTGATATTGGTTGATTCACTTATTTTATTTTCATATCTCTTTGTTATAAATAGTAGCAATTTGTATGCATATATCATTTATTTTGAGCATTTAGAAGTGAAGTGAGTCACATTTTGGTAAATAGTATTGGTTTGGCACACTAGTATGAGTATGTGTTAGGTGTAGGCGATTCACAATCAACACTAAGTAGTAATCATCACTTACAGTTGCAAGAAAAAGTATGTGAACCCGTTGGGATTACGTGGAGTTTTGCATGAATTGGGCATAAAATGTGCTCTGAATGTAATCTAAGTCACAACAATAGAAGAACACAGTCTGCTGAACATAATACTACACAAACATTAGATGTTGCCATGGTTTAATTGCACATAACATGTAAACATTCACAGTGCAGGGAGGAAAAAGTATGTGATGCCCTAGCTTAATGACTTCTCCCAGAGATAATTGGAGCCAGGAGTGAGCCAACCTTGACTCCAATCAGTGTGATGATATTGGATGTGTTGCTGACAGCTGTCCTTCCCTTAAAAAAAACACACACCTGTTTTGGGTTTACTGGTTTCAAGAAGCACTGTCTGATGTGACCCATGCCTCGCAGAAAAGAGCTCTCAGAAGACCTACGATCAAGAAATGTTGACTTGCATGAAGCTGGAAAGGGTTACAAAAGTATCTCCAAAAGCCTTGATGTTCATGTGTCCACGGTAAGACAGACTGTCTACAAATGGAGAAAGTTTAGCACTGTTGCTACTCTCCCTAGGCGTGGTCGTCCTGTAAAAATGACTGCAAGAGCACAGCGCAGAATGCTGCATGAGGTAAAGAAGAATCCCAGAGTGTCAGCTAAAGACCTACAGAAATCTCTGGCACATGCGAACATTTTTTGTTGACACATCTACAATAAGGAAAACATTAAACAAGAATGGAGTACATGGGAGGACACCACGGAGGAAGCCATTGCTGTCCAAAAAGAAAATTGCAGCACGTTTGAAGTTTGCAAAAAAGCACCTGGATGTTCCACAGCACTACTGGCAAAATACACTGTGGACAGATGAAACCAAGATTGAGTTGTTTGGGAAGAACACACAACACTATGTGTAGAGAAAAAAAGGCACAGCACGCCAACATCAAAATCTCATCCCCACTGTAAAACATGGCGGAGGGAGCATCATGGTTTGGGGCTGCTTTGCTGTCTCAGGGCCTGGACGGATTGTTGTCATTGATGGAAAAATGAATTCCAGAGTTTATCAAGACATTTTGCAGGAAAACGTGCAACCATCTGTCCGCCAACTGAAGCTCCGCAGAGGATGGGTGATGCAACAGGACAATGACCCAAAGCATACAAGTAATTCAACAAAACAATGGCTGCAACAGCGCAGAATACGCCTTCTGGAGTGGCCCAGTCAGAGTCCTGACCTCAACCCGATTGAAATGCTGTGGCATGACCTTAAGAGAGCGATTCACACCAGACATCCCAAGAATATTGCTACACTGAAACAGTTTTGTGAAGAGGAGTGGTCCAAAATTACTCCAGATCGTTGTGCAGGTCTGATTCGCAACTACAGGAAACGTTTGGTTGAGGTTATTGCTGCCAAAGGAGGGTCAACCAGTTATTAAGTCCAAAGGTTCACATACTTTTTCCTCCCTGCACTGTGAATGTTTACATGTTATGTGCAATGAAACCATGGCAACATCTGTTTGTGTAGTATTATGTTCACCAGACTGTGTTCTTCTTCTATTGTGATGACGTTCAGAGCACATTTTATGCCCAATTCATGCAAAACTCCACGTAATCCCAAGGGGTTCACATACGTTTTCTTGCAACTGTACATATATAAACTCTATGTAATAATAATAATAATAGCAGCTCACAAGCTTCCTTTTTTCAACTAGGATATAAATGTTGTTTATTTAATAGCAGTCATAATTTACTTTTATCCCAACAACCAGTTTCCCCATATTCAAAGTTTTCAGGAGCTCAGGAAACTTTGCAAACAGAGAGCTGGCTTCTTTTTTACAGATACCCCCTGATGTCTTCCCAACAAAACGTCCTAATATGTCCCAGCTGCACCGCACACTGTGGTCACTTCACTTTGGGGTGGGAAGGTCTGAGTAGCTTAAAGTAATAGAAAACTCTTCCTGCCTTAACCACTTGCCCTCTAGAGGATCCCCCCCCCCCCCCCCCCCTCCTGACCAGGCCATTTTTTGCGTTACGGCACTGCTTTACTTTAACTGATAACTGCGCAGTCATGGAACGCTGCACCCAAATTAAATGTATATGCTTTTTTCCCACAAATAGAGCTTTCTTTTGGTAGTATTTGATCGCCTGTGCGTTTTTTTTTTTGTTTTGTTTTTTGCGCTATAAACAAAAAAAGACCGACAATTTTGAGAAAAAAAAGTATATTTTTGACTTTTTGCTATTAAACATGTTCAGTAAAAAAATTTTAAAAATCAAATTTCATCATAAATTTAGGGCAAAATGTATTCTGCTACATGTCTTTGCTAAAACAAAATCCCAATATGTGTAAATTAATTGGTTCATGTGAAAATTATAGCATTTACAAATGATGGTATATATACTATTATATAACCATTTTTTTTTGTACTAGTAATGGCGGCGATCAGCGACTTATTGAGGGACTGCGGTGGACATTCTGACACTGGGGGGAACTGAATTGGTGTCACTGACATCCCCAGTGACACTAATACAGTGATCAGTGTTACTAAAAAGCACTGACACTGTACTAATGGCACTGGGCAGGAAGGGGTTAAAATCCGGGGCGATCAACTGTGTTCTGTTTCACATTGTGATGTGTGCTTTCAACTGTAAGCACACTGCTTTGTATGGCTCTGCTATGCAGAACCATACAAAGCAGTGTGCAGGAGCTGACTGGAGAGAACTGTACTGTTTACATACAGTTCTCTCCCCCGTTGGCGAGTAATCACCGGCCGGGACCCAGTGATTGACAGTCAAGGCCGCGAATGGCGGCGTGGGTAGGGCTTGCACGCGCCCCCTACCTGGAACTGCAAAATCACACACACACACACACACACACACACATATATATATATATATATATATATATATATATATATATATACACACACTTGATTTTGCACACCCGTGTCGCCCTGTAGCAGTACTTCTGCTATAGGGCAGACGAGAGGCGGTTAAACAACCTACTGCCATGTAATATATTAATTTCAATCCTTGTTGCTCTTGCTCAAATACTAAAAATCACTGGGGTAGATTTACTAAAGCTGGTTCACTCAATCTTGTGTATTTGTGCATGGAAGTTAATCAGTTTCAAACCTCAGCTTGTTTAATTAAGCTTTAGCAATAAAACATGTAAGCTGATTGGTTTCCATGCATAAGTGCACAAGATTCTAAGTGAACCAGCTTTAGTAAATAAACCCCACTGTTTGTATCTTTGTTACGTTATTTTCCACATGGTGACGTGTATTATTCCTCCCTACTTGCTAACACTGAGTGGCCAGTGGCTGTGTACCTTTCTTGCTAATTCACAACTTTCTGAAATATCATATTGCTGATTGTAGGAGCGATTCTATGGCAACAGAATCAATATATACTTTGGTTTCTACATTAGGGAAGAGAGGAACACACTTACATCTCTCTGTCACCCCTGAAAGTTTAGGAGTTGTTGTTCAGGACCTTCATTCATGAGAAATTATCTGGTGTGCATATGTCACAGTACAGGAAGGGAGATGTGGGTTCGAAAATTCTATAAGTAGGATTCAGCAGTGGAATTCATCAGCGTCATAGCATGTCGGCCAGAGAAAAGGAATAGCCCAAAGCAGGAGAGAATGAGAGAAAAAAAGATCAGCAGAAGTTACACAGGCAAGATGAATAATGTAAAATTTGATTAACTGGCTCGAAACAAATTTAAAATTTAAGATTTTTACTAGAATTCCACTTTAACCACTTGCCCTCCTGAGGATTTACCCCCTTAATGACCAGGCCTCTTTT